TTTGGATATGGTTTTGATATTATAGATATGAGGTAGGCAAGAAGATACGATGAAGATCAGTAATCAGGGATAAGTATAACGATATGAAAATAGTATGAGCTTGAACAAAATAGTGATCTATGTTATAAGGAGATTTTGATTTTGGAAGGAATGAAAGAAATAAAGGGATAGGAAAGACAAAGTGGAGGTTAAACGATCAAGTATGACAAGAGGTATATTAAGATATAAGTTATAAGCTTGATATTGAAATAATACAATTTACAATTATTAGAAGAACGAGAATGGGTGATTATTCTTTGAACAAATATGTAAGGGTTACATGAAAAGATTGTGTGTATAGTAATACATACAAGGATTAAGAAATGAGCAAAAGCTTGATTTATGTGCAAAGCACATAGAGAATGATGAAAAAGATCAATTGATCCATAATAGTGAGGATTAAGGATTTGGGGTTGTTGTCTATATAATGAATAATATTATATGGGCTTATAAATATGTGGACGTATATGAAGAATTGAGTATGGGAAAATGGTAAGTTGCTAGCGGTAGCAGGAAATATTAAGGGAAGCAACATGAAAATATTAGAAGATATGATATTATAAAGGCATGCAGTGAAAATTCGAGGATGAATTTCTTTAAAGGAGGGGAGATTTGTAACATCCCAAATCAGGGTCAGTGACTAAATTGCAAATTTTGAAAGTTTTGTGCTCAATTTAGAAATAATTAAAAGTCTCAAAATTTAAGTAAAGAATTTTAATATTGGATTAAATAACAAAGATGGATAAACTAAAGGGGCAAAATGGTCTTTTCATGGGAAAGATTTTTATCTTCCCTTTTTGAGTATTATAAAACGTGGGAAATATGAGAGAGTTCCAGACTCTCTTCTCATTCTCTTCTTTTCCACCGTGAAGCCATAAGCAAAGGTAAGATCTTGTAGTGATATTTAGCTAAATTTAGGATTTGGTTATGATCATGAATGATAATTAAGCTTAAGGAAAGCTTAAATCATTAAAAACAAAGGATGGTGGTGGAATTAGGAGAGATTAAAGATTAGAGTTTTTAATGAAATTTTGGAATAGAGTTCATTACTCAAATTGGAAGTTGAATTTGACTTGTCATCTATGAGAATAAGAAGCTAGAAGTGTTAGAATTAAGTTTGGGTAACATGGGAAAAATTGGTATGATTCTTGAATGCTATGTGGGAGTGGATTTTTTAAGTTAAAGAGATATTGAATGAAAATTTATTAGTTTATGTATGTATATTTGAGTTAAGAATATTAAAGGAAGTGAAATAGGAAGTGTGGAACTGAAAATGAAGTGATTTTCGAGCTCAAAATATGATTTCTGGGCTAGGGGAATCGATACCCATTCAAGGGGAACCGATACCCCTTCAAACGAACCAGAATTTACAGAATGTCATGGGGAACCGATACCCCCAGAGGAGGGAACCGATTCCCCCCTAAAGGAAGAAATGAATATTAGTTTATTAAGTTCGTTTAGTGTTAGTATTGAATTACAGATGTAGGTATCTAATAATTGTCTTGAAAATGTATAATTATGTAGATTCAGAGCCTGAACGAGTTCCGGAATCATTGTCAAGTAAGATCGATTAAAGGGAAAGATAAGAGATTGGATTGACTAGTGAGGCCATGTGAGTGCATATTCAATAGTATATGATGGGTAATGGGAAGAAGACTTGCGATGAGTCTATTTCTTGAAAAGTTACATATGAATTCAGATTAAGGCATTAGTTGAATATGAGTGTATGTATGCTTGATATATGAATTGATATGTTTGTATGTGCTATGTGGTTTATGTACACACACTATTAAGTGTTAATGAGAGAATATCAAATAAGTTATGAAATTATATGAATATAGAAGATAAGTCAAGAGATGTAGGGAAATGGAAATAAAGGTTTATGAAATCATAGGAGAATAAATATAAGTAATAAGATAATGAAATATAAGACTATGTGAATACATGGTTATGAGAATTAGTAAATAGAGTATTTGATTTAATGAGAATTGAGGAAACTAAATAAGATTGAATTATATAATGGAATGGGAATAATATCAATTAGGGAACTTGAATATAAAGCGATGTATGTATATATATTGGATAAATTATACTTGAGAGCTTTGGGGTATAGTTTGGCATGCCAAGGGTCTAGGGTCTACGCGGTCCTTCGGGACATATAGGTATCCTATGGAACATCTATGAGGTCCTTTGCGACACGTATTTGGTCCTTAGCATATGTATATGATTCTTAAGGAATTTTCTACGTGATCCTTCGGGACGTATATGTATTCTTTGGAGCATGTATGAGGTCTTTTGAGACACTTACTTGATCCTTGGTATATGTATATGGTTCTTAAGGAATTTATATATGTGGTCCTTATGGACAATCTTATATGGCACTACGGTGCAAACTCTACGCGGCACTTCAGTGCAATTATACGAGCTGTGTTGACAGCATTAGTGCACAACCTCTATAGACTCACATACCTATAGTTCTCACATATTTCCATGGGCTAATCAGGAGATAATAACAAATATATGTTTGTGATATGATAAATGTTATAGAAAGGATATGATGTTGTGTGCGTGTATATTGTTTGATTAAGGGTTTTAAGTATAAAAGTATGTGATTAAAAGATAAATTGTTAATGATGCTTTATGTGTATGTAGGTATAATTTGTTAAGTAATCGGATATGATTTTGTATGCTATGATGAAATAAGGTGATTTAGTATAGCATGATAGAATGAAACATGCATGCATTGTTAAATGTTATTAAGTGCATTTATTTTATTTGCCTCACTAAGTCATCGACTTAGCGTGTGAGTGTTTCACACATAGGTTCCGGAAAGCTAGAAGAAAAGCTAAGAGAGCAAGATAGGTCAGCATCTCCCTTAAAAATTTCAGATCAGAAAATAGATGATTTACATGATTTTGGTTCCTTTGAATATAATTGGCATGTACTAAAGGATTGAGTTAATATGCTCTGATTAATTTTAGTTATTGTGGTCAAGTTATGTAAATAAGTTGCTTTTACTTTAATTAAAGTTTAAATTTTCTTTGAATTTTGTCAAGAGTCAAAGTTTGAAAAGTCAATGTGACACCTCGGACTCGTATCCATGTCAGGTACGGGTTGGAGGTGTTATAGTTTTAGCGATTATGTAAGGCAAAATTTGCGTTTGAGAACGGGAAATGGCGAAATGGTTGATTTTTGGCATGATGTGTGGTTGGGAGAAGTTCCACTTAAAGAACAGTTTCCGAGGCATTTTGCTCTTTCGACTAATAAAGGGGGAAAAGTTGCAGAGTTCAGGGTTTTTAATACCTTGGGATGGGTTTGGGATGTTCAAATGAGAAGGAACTTGGTGGATTGGGAAGTTGAACAGTGGTTGCATCTTGTCTCGTTGTTGAATAATACCAATTTTTCTCATTCTGAAGAAGATTCTTAGATATGGATAGGGAACGGAGAAGGTTGTTTTTCAGCTAAATCTTGTGTCAAGATTTTCTACGAACAGAGACTGCTAATGAGGGGACTGACGGTTATTGGGAAAGGCATTTTTGGACAGGAGTAGCACCACCTCGTGTGGAAACTTCTGTATGGCAGCTTGCTCATCATAGAGTTGTGGTTAGGGAGGAATTGTTGAAGAGAGGAGTCGTTAGGATCGAAGAATCCCAATGTCTGATGTGTCATAAATATGCAGAAACAGTTTCACATCTTTTTTTTGCATTGTGATGTAGTAAGGGGCCTGTGGTCTAGATTTTTGAATTTATGGAATGTTTCTTTTGTGGTTCCTAAAAATTTGATTGATTTCATTATTTTATGGGACGATTTACTACCGAAATCAAATATTTGGAAATTTATTCCAAAGGCGGTGATGTGGACTGTTTGGAAATGTAGAAATGAGGTAATTTTTCAGAAAGAAAAGGTGGATGCAGTATTACTTTTCTTTCTTGTTCAATTTAGAACTGCTACGTGGTTTGATGCTAGATTCAAGGATCTGCATATCTCGTTTGATTCATTAGTGGGAGATTTGAAATTAGTTGATTCAATAGGAAGACACAATAAGGGATATTCGACTTCTTCGTGTTGGGTGAATCCTCCTGACGGTTTCGTTAAACTTAATGTTGATGGTGCGATGGTGAGGGGTTGGGATAAAGGAGGTATAGGCAGGCTGATTAGGGACAACACAAGTATATTGATTAAAGCGTTTTCAAAAAGGGTTGGGGGAAGTCCTCCTATAATGGCAGAACTATTGGTGATTAAGAGAGGTCTGATTCTTATTGAAGAATTAGGATCTGTCCTAAATCATAGGGTTATTTTAGAATCGGATTCAAGTACAGCACTGAAGTGGATTAAAAATCCAAACTTAGCACCCCTATGTTTCATTCATTGTGAAGGACATAGCTACTCATATGGAACGTCTAAATATCATTTCAAGGCATGTTATGAGAGCTGCCAATTGGAAAGCAGGTAAGTTAGGTAAAGATGGTATAAGTTGATTTCTAGGTTATGTTTTTGGGTATCTTAACAAGTACATAAACGTTTGTTTTACGTAGGGAGTTTGTTTTCAATCTTATATATCAAGGGTATGTTGTATTTCGAGGTTATGTTTTTTATTGTGTATTATTTTTAGATTAATGAAGTTCAAAGACACTCTTTTCCTCCTTCATGTTACTATTGCAACGTGGAAGGTATGAAAAGTTTTTTTAATGAGACCTAATCTTATATAAAAAAAATACTAAAATTTTAAAATTGGTTATTTAAATTTATTATTTTATTTTAAAATAAGATTTAATTGGTTAAAAATATTTTGATTCATTAAAATTAAATCTATTTTTTAGTGAATCAAATAAGATTATGTCGAAAAGTAAGAATAAAAACATACGAATTTTGGAAGTCCAAGAAAAACAATCCATCTTCATTCTTGTATTGCTCCCCGTTACAAACCAAAACGCCGTATACCAAGAATTTCACCCTCAAAAATAGAAGCCAATGCCATCAAAGACAACTTAAAACTCCACAAATCTTTAACCAAAAAACAGATACAACAAATAACACAAAGGAAATGCCAATTCCGAACCTTAAAAACAGGTCGGAATTCGGCGATTGAAGATCGACACGAAAATGAAAGAATAAAAACGGAAAAATACCGGTTTCCAGTTAAATCCAATTTGCCTAATAAACAAGACGTGAGGCCTAAGCAAAACAGCCCCCTCCAATATTCAAACTATAATACAGGTACCAAATTCAACTCGAGTGGCTTCAATGCTCCCTGAACAATCTCTTGAACTGTTCGATTACGACGACAAACATCAGATAACTCTTCAACTGAGAGTATCACGGTATTCACATCAGCCCCGGAGGCTGCCTCTGACAATCCTTGCAAAAATCTCAAGCGCTCCACTTCCTTCACAGCAGTCAATGGGATCAATGACACACTTTCCCTAGCCCATTCCAGAGCTTGCATGCCGTATGCTCGAGTTAAAGCTAGAAGTGCATATGCTACCTGGAGCAGCAAAGCACTCCATGAAATCGATCAAGAAATATAATTTAAGGCAATTACATTATTCTACCAATCATCAATGTAACTACCGTTTCTAATCGAGAATTAGGCAGTGCTCCTGTTAGGGCGGCCACCAATATTCTAGTAATGGTAGCACCTCGCGGAATAATGAGACTATCCCTGATAGATAAATACTGTTGTCCCTTGCTAGACTTTGCTAGATCAAAGATATCAGACAAGAAGGTTAAAACGGAATTGGAGGCCTCTCTGCAAATAAAATATGGAGACACAATAAATTTCTAAATGATAAATGTATCGAAAAGTAATGACTTGTAACCTACTCGCCTATAAGAAGGATGTATTGCTTGTGTTTGTACACACATGCGCGTGCACAACCACAGATGTAAGACGTGCACAAACCGACAAACAAGCTCATGTAATAAATACAGGCAGTGAGAAAGAGATTATACCTGTGCTGTACTGTGATACCAATCATCGCACAATCTATTAAAGCCGGAAATACAGCAGAAGGGATAAATAATTGAGGACAATAACGAATGCATCTTGATGCCAGTAGAAAACAATCATCTGCGATGTCTGGTCTTGTAGTGAATTCCTGCAGCAAAACAATAAATAAAAGTCGACACATTGACAATTCTAAATAATAGGAAAAAGTACATCGTCTAATAAAAGCATACCTTAATACTCGTGAGAAGGGACGCTGTGTGCTTGAAGAGCACTTCAATCATATTTTTTAGGTAACTTGCACAAGAAGGATCAGAGCCAAATATCTACAGCACAAGTGGAGCTGCCTTCTTAGCATCTTAACCGAAACAAATATAAAATTAAAATTAGCAAAACTGGCGAGGGAAAAGCGTACCTTTATAACTTCACTAGAGAGATAAAGGAAGCACGGCTGGTGGTGTTGTTGATACAGGCCTTGGATTTCTTCAAGCATTGCTCCAATTGTTGTTCCCATAAACCTTCCAGAAGTTCTCACCTAATAAAAATAAATTGATCATTATAACTGCCTAGCAATGCTGATTATTTTCAAACAGGTGACCGCTAACAAGTAATTCATTTCCTTCTCCTTTCTTTCCTTTTCCAAGTAAACCGCTCGTTTAAGTGCAATGTTCGAGGCGTACTACATTTCATGATCGAACAAATTAATTAAGCAAAATTCTTATATGAGAATAATATCATATAATTAAAATATCTGATATATGACGAAAATTCTTTCGGAAAATATTATCATTGCAATCAGTTAATGCAATTCCAGCAACCAGAGAAAGTAAGGCATAGACATGCATTTCGTTGGAGAATGCCAAATATGTTCAGTAGAATGTTTGACAATCAGATTTCAAAATCAGTTTTGAAAATCCATTTTTCTGAACTCATCCTTAGACTCACAGCATATTTGCAAGTACGGCAAAGAGACTCCATGGTCCTCATGTCCCAAGCGCGACTGCATCAGAAGCATTTAAATAATAATAATCGGGTAAAAGTTGGAAACCTATAAACACTGACATGGTGACTACAAGTTTAGGAAGTTGGTCAATACTCACAGATCAAATATGGCTTTGAATATTGGCCAAAGCCTGTGAACTGAATCAGCAACTGCTTCAGGATGATTTACATACCTAGAATTGGTTCAAGTTGCATGATGAGCAAAAGAAATAAGTGAGGGAAGAGGGGTGGGGACGCATTGATCTCACCGGAAGATATAAGCAAATCGATCTATGTGAACTGTTAATTCACGAGCATGTTTCTTCTCTAAAACTTCTGGACCTTGGTTAATAACAGCCTGGTAACATATCATAGAAAATGGCCCACTGTAAATAAAAAAAAAGAAGGTATCAACACATTAAACCGAAAGGGACGAGCTAACCTGTAAAGGAGTAATAACTGAAGCGCATAGTTCCTCCAAAGCAGCCTTAGCAGGCTCTGGTGGAAGTTCAGTAATAACCATGCTGAGGAAACAATTTAACAGCCATTAATATATCAAGACCAACGTAAGACTATCAGTCACTATCCATGTCTTTAGCCCCTAAAGTTGCCGAGTAAGAAGCAAACCTCAAAGCTTCAACTAAGTGTAATGAATCTTCAGCAGAGCCCTTAAAACTACCTTCACCATTAACTGCTGTATAGTATATATGGAAAAGCTCTTTACAATATGTAGAAAGCTTTTTACGGCAATCTGCATTCAACAAGAACAATATAATCCACAGTTAAAACTTTCAAAATAGAATAATAAAGCAAAACATTTTCACCATCCAGCTATGAATGAATTCAGGCAGGTGTTATATGAAAAATTGATCGACTCCAAGGGTATATGAGGAACTATTTTTTTATATAAGAATTGAAGGTCTCGTTGAAAACCCCTTTCATAATTGCTAAAACACCAAGGGGCATTTTAGCAAAAAGCAGGAGGAAAAGAGTACCTCAGAATTTATTGAATAATAAAAATCAGTACAGGATGGAGTACAAAAGTGTGCCTATCCAAATACAATATCCCATACAGCCCTAAGCTAATACCCCACCCAAGCAAAAGTAACCTATTGATCAACCAATCCCTGACTTAGCTAAGGCATCTGCTTCCATATTTGCTGACTAGATATGAGGTAACTATTGGAGAAGGCTGCATATGTACAAGCAAGGTTCCTCCATGTTTTGTGTTCCTTTTCTTAGTTTACCTTTTTTTTTCTTCTCAGGAGAAGGGGGGTTCAATTATACAAAATCACACATGATAAGTTCATGGATCTCTGTCAAATATAAACTGAAAAAACTTGGAACAGTCAATCCAAATCTTACTTCCCATTCGTGTTTTCTATTAGTAAAATCAATATACAAAAACAAAGATGTATGACATGCTATATCAAAGTACAACAAAGCACCTAGAATGTCAGTCTTGTTATTACAATTTACAAGCATGAACACCTTTTACACCCATTTGTCCTGGGATGAATAACCATAAATTTTCATAAGGTAGATAAAGAAAGCAGTAGAATAGTTAATAAAAGAAACTATACCATCACAGATGTGTCTAAATGCCAAAGCAGCAGCTGCAGCAGAATCTTCAGAGGTACGCATCCCACTCATGAGAATATCAATCACCAAAGGCAACTTAGAGAAACCACTTGGTGCAGCATCAAGCCACTTAGAAAATGCTCCAATTATTAAACAAACTGAATTTGTACATGCAAAAATAACTATTGATTATTGAAGATAAATTCAGATAACTGTAAAATCTAAAATTAGTAAAAACGCTACTTTGAAATCTTTATAGTAGTGATCTCCACAGCAGGCCAGATAAAAACAGACATTTGGACCAATGAAGATACATACTGCTTTGGAAGGAAGCAGAATTAACACATTATGAAGTGGTAGGTTACCCGTTTGGAGTAGCTGCGGCTGATGAGGCAGTTTCGGAAGCAGATCCATAACCTATAAAACCAATCACGAACAATGTGCATTCTATGGATTATTAACATAAGATTTCAAAACATACTTGCAAATAAAAACTGACAATAAAATTCAAACAGTTACACGATTAACATTAAAAAAAATTATACATACAAGTGTACTTGGTATCAGAGGTGAACTCACTTAATACTGCAGATGCTTATCTGAAAGCATATAAATGGGAAAATGATGTCCATTCATACCTGAGGCATTACGTTTGTTTCAACGACCGACACATAACTTGATATAGCTCGAATGCAGAATAAAGCAGCCTCAGCTGGACGCCATTCACTTTGTTCATTTCCACAGCAAGATACGGCCTAGGTGATACAAAAATGGAGAGATCAATTTAGCAATAGGAACATCATAAAGGATTATATTAGTAACAGAGAAAAAACATAGAGTTCCAAAATCTTCTTGCGGCCACTGAAACTTATGATGCACAATTCAAGACAGAACTAACACCTTATTCTTCCAAATTGTCATAAGTTGAAGAAGTTCCACAACTATGCATACTTTTATGATTCAAGATTGTAACTATTAAAGAAAATGGAAATGAAAAGCAGATATCAAAAGTTTGCAAGCAATTCACTGATCCTGATTTAAAGGCACTAACAGCCATTAGGACTTAACCGAAACCATCAGGCTAGACAACAAGATGGTCATGGAAATTCGGTAAACTTATGAATCAGTAACATATAGCAACAAAGATTATTCAAAGCTATAGGGACTAATGGCCACAAATATGCATAACGCTATAATTCAGGATTGCAACTATGAAAAGAATAATGAAAGTGAAAAGCAGACAAAAAGTTTGTGAGCAATTCACTGATCCTGATTTTAAGGCACTATACTGGGGCTTGATTGAAATCACCAGGCTAGATCAAAAGACGGCCATGGAAATTAGGCAAACTTATGAGATTGATACCATATAGCACAACCAAAACTAACATTGCTAACATGACTGAAATTTTATGAAATAGTGAAATACTATTCTTAACACTAACAATGTGGTGGTCACAATGTTGTTTTTTTGAGCTAACCCACACTGCTAACATGACAGAAATTTTACGGAAGTCTATCCTTAAAATCAGTAATGTTGTGATTACAAGGTATCATTTTTCTCTTTTTCTTCAGGTCAATCTCATGGTCCTATGTTTCTTGGTTAAAAACTCAAATATTGATTATCGACAAGTGGAGAGTTTGATATCATCCTCTATCTTACCGATAAAGGTAAATTTAATGAAAAATTTAAAAATAAAATTAAACAGAAGTTTAATCAGATCTTATATATGCTTAGTACCTTACAGGAAAATGTTCCTAGCTGCACCAGGTGTGTCTAATCTAATGCGTCTGGATACTTGAAAGGATCTGAGAAGCATTTTTGTTGTCTAACGCTAAGGCACAACATAGGCGCACAACTTAACATTTGTTCAACCATTTATTAACTACTAACAGGGTGGTAATGACCACTAATCAGATATTTATAATTTTTAAAAGTCCAAATCTGCTTAATTTATCTGAAATTCAAATCCATTTATTATCTGTTTACTGTCTGAATACTACTATCCAAATCCCCATCCTATTCAAAGAATAATATCAGTTGAATATCTGCATCCACTAAATATCCAATCTTATTAAATCATTTAAAAAACCTAAAACATAATTAAATATGAAAATAGATATGGGATTCAGATTCAAGTATTTGAATACGTTATCCATATAAATAAAATGGATTCAACTAATCCAACTCTATCCAAACCAAAATTGAAGTGGATGCAGATTGTGGATATAAAAAGGTTCATATCTGATCCAAGGAAAATAAACCTAATATACAAATCATCAAAAATCAATTTAATAGTGTTGGGAATCCAATTTTTACCATCCGTTTCCATCCCTAACCTAAAGTCATGAAAAGAATAAACAAACTTCACAAATATTAACTAAAGCAAATAATACATACCTCTAATAGCTTCATGTAAAGAATTTGCAGCGTTGCATCGCCGCCTAAAACTGATGCCGCATCTGTTAACACATCCGCAACAGCTAACAAATAGCAGATCCCATCAGGGTCTCATCAAAGACAAACATATCTTTTAACAACAGAAAGATAAAAATTGATCTAATGATTTTTACATTCAAAAGGAACTGCAACCAAAACACAGAAGATTAGACTAAAATATTTCCTTAAATTAGATTAAGTGAATTATCAAGTAACCTAGTCTAACAATTATATAATGGCCCGGTGGTTTATCTATACGAGAAACAATGCCCATAAAAATTAATCCTAGAAGCAAACCTCATGTTGTCTAATTGGAAGCATGCACAAAGTCTAAACATAAATTGAGAAATAATAGCAGCTAGAGAACTCATCTTTTAATTAATAAAAATTAGTCACCATAAACTATGTGATGTAATGGGGAATTACAAAAATATAAGAGTTCAGGTGTGCAAAGGGTATGTTGGAATTCCTAGAATCAAGGAACAATATCTTTTTTTTCTTAATTCTAGGAGTTTGCCTTATGTAAATAGTCAACTAATCTAATTCTCTGATCTTAGGAATTATTTCCTAACTTAGAGTAGTTCTTCCTTATAAATTGTAATTTACGTTTAGAGCAATAAAGTAAGAATTTCATTTCTTCTCACATTTGTTCATGGCATCAGAGCTGTAGGACTCATTCGATCCTATTCTGCTCTTCCTCTAGAAATTGTTCTTGCGTTGTTTTCTTCCTATGGCAGACAACTAGAAAATCTTTGCGAATCTAAAACCTCAGCCCTTGTATCATCTAAAACTTCATCCTCTACAGAAAATACCTTCGATGTCCGCCTAACCAAATCTCAACTCGAAGCCCTACACAAGATACTTGAAACACCTACTGCTCATGGATCCTTGGCTATTCAAGGTACTGTTTTTAATATTAATTCGGATTCAACTAATCAATCCGCTTGGATCCTGGATTCAGGTGCCTCCGACCACATGACAGGTAACTCATCCCTGTTCCACAGCTACATCCCCTGTCACAATCAATCTCGTATCCGAATAGCTGATGGTTCATACTCGCCTGTTGCTGGGACTGGGGCAGTTCAACTCACTAAAAAACTCTCTTGACAAAGTCTTACATGTCCCAAGTTTATCCTGCAATTTACTGTCAGTTAGTAAACTAATTGAGGATAATGCTACTCTTGTTGAATTTTCTGCTCGTGGTTGTGTTGTACAGGAACAAAAATCGGCAAAGATGATTGGCACTGCTAAGGTTGATGATGGACTCTACATATGGAATAAAGACAATAAGAAAGGAAGTTTGGCGTTATCTACTTCACATGAGGACACAATTATGCTGTGGCACCAAAGGCTAGGACACCCAAAGTTCTTGTACATGAAGTATGTATTTCCACTGTTATTTCAAAATAAAAATTCAAATTCCCTAAAGTGTGAAATCTGCCAACTCTCAAAACATACTCGTGTTCCTTATACATTAAAACCTTACATCCAATCCAAACCTTTCTCCTTAATACACAGTGATCTATGGGGGGCTAGCCGAGTGAAAATATTACGAGGGCTAGATGGTTTATAACATTTATTGATGACCATACTAGAGTTTGTTGGGTTTATCTCCACAAAGAAAAGTCCGAAACACCCAAAGTATTCCAAAATTTTCATTCAATGATTAGAACCCAATTAAATTCCACCATACAAACGCTCCGCACCGATAATGGAAGAGAGTACTTCAACTCGATTTTAAGTCCTTACCTTGCAGAACAAGGCATCATACACCAAAGCTCCTGTCCAGACACACCACAACAAAATGGAATTTCGGAAAGGAAAAATGGCACCTATTAAATGTTGCTTGAGCCCTAATGTTTACCACAAATATCCCAAAATACCTATAGGGAGAGGTTGTTCTTACCGCATGCTACCTAATCAACCGAATGCCATCCAAATCCTTAAATTTCAAACACCTCTAAATACCCTTCAAAAAGCTTTCCCTCTTTTCCATGTTCCTACCTTACCGGTTAAATTATTCGGGTGTAAAGCCTTTGTCCGTAACCATCAACCCAACCTATCTAAACTTGACTCTTGTGCTCATACTTGTGTTTTTGTTGGCTACTCCCCTACGCAAAAAGGGACAAATGTTACTCACCTACTTTGCATCGTACATTTGTTTCCCGAGATGTAACCTTCTTTGAAACAGAACCATATTTTTCAGCAACTCATCTTCAGGGGGAGATTCTCAATGAAGATGAGAACCTCAATACCCTCCCTATTACTCCACCATCCGATCCTAATCTACCACAAAATTTTCATACAAATGACATCCTCATAGTCCCCTCACAGCAACCACCTAATGACATCCTCATAGTCCCCTCACAGCAGCCCCCTTCCCAGCAGCACAATGATGATCCTAGTCTGCAGAAACAACAACAGCTTGCTCCACAGCTTGCTCCTGAAACTCAGCAACTTTGTGCTCCTGAACTCCGGGTTTATTCAAGGCGTCATTACTCTCCTGAAACTGACATAGAAGTGCCAAATTCATCTACAACCGTGGACTGTTCTACAACAGAGGTAACCCCTGATTCTCCATCTATTGATCCCCCAATTGCTATTCGAAAAGGTGTAAGGACCTACACCCAACACCCTATCTCTCGGTTTGTGTCTTATGGAAATCTATCCAAGTCATACAAAAATTTTGTGACAAATATTGACCATGTAAAAACTCCAAGGGATGTGAAGGAAGCTCTTGAATCACCCGAATGGAAACATGCTGTAATGAAAGAAATGAATGCTCTAAAAAACAATGGAACATGGGAAATCTCGGATCTTCCTGAAGGGAAAAAATCAGTAGGCTGCAAATGGATTTTCACCACCAAATTCAAAACTGATGGAACTATTGACAGCACAAGGCTCGACTTGTGGCAAAGGGATTCACTCAGACATATGGGCTCGACTATGATGAGACCTTTGCACCTGTTGCCAAACTTAATACTATTCGGGTTCTTCTATCACTTGCTGCAAATCTTGATTGGCCTTTGACTCAGTTGGATGTTAAAAACGCCTTTCTAAATGGTGAATTGGCCGAGGAAGTGTATATGGACTTTCCACCAGGATTCGAAGAAGAAAAAGGTCGAGTATGCAGGTTAAAGAAATCACTATATGGGTTGAAACAGTCCCCAAGAGCTTGGTTTAGTCGATTTGCCAAGGCTATGACCAGCAGGGCATATACCCAAGGACAAGCTGACCGTACCATGTTCTACAAACATTCAAAGGAAGGTAAATGCTCCATACTTATAGTCTATGTTGACGATATCATTCTAACAGGAGATGATTCGAATGAAATCAGATGCCTAAAAGAGTTCCTTAGCACTGAATTTGAGCTTAAGGACTTGGGAAATCTAAAATACTTCCTTGGAATGGAAGTAGCAAGGTCTCGAACAGGTATCTCCATCTCTCAACGAAAATATGTTCTAGATTTACTGAAGGATACTGGCATGTTAGGTTGCAGACCTACAGAGACCCCGATAGAATTCAATTTGAAACTTGAAATAATGAAGATGGAGAGGAATTAGACAGGGGGCGATATCAACGACTTGTGGGAAAACTTATCTATCTATCCCAAACTCGTCCTGACATTGCTTTCAGTGTGAGTGTTATCAACCAATATCTGCATAACCCAAGGGAGAAACATCTAGAGGCTGTCCATAGGGTGTTGAGATACTTGAAGGGAACCCCGAGTAAGGGCCTATACTTCAAGAAAACAAATAACCGATATGTAGACATCTACACAGATGCTGATTGGGCAGGTTCGGTGAATGATAGAAGGTCTACAAGTGGTTACTGCAGTTACGTGTAGGGTAACCTTGTGACGTGGAGAAGTAAAAAACAATCTGTTGTAGCCCGCAGTAGTGCTGAAGCTGAATATCGAACTGTGTCACATGGTATATGCGAGGGAATTTGTACAACGACTAATGAGGGAATTAAAAATGCCTCACACCAGACCTATGAAACTGTACTTTGACAATCAGGCAGCAGTGAGCATAGCATACAATCCGGTTCACCATGATCGTACCAAACATGTAGGAATAGATCGCCATTTTATCAAAGAAAAGATCGAATCAGGGGAAGTATGCATAACCTACCTACCAACTAAACAACAAATTGCAGACTTGTTTAACAAGAGCCTAAACAAGAACATGTTTGAAGATCTCACTAACAAGCTGGGTTTGATTAACATCTATACACCAGCTTGAGGGGGAGTGTTGGAATTCCTAGAATCAAGGAACAATATCTTTTTTTCTTAATTCTAGGAGTTTGCCTTATGTAAATAGTCAACTAATCTAATTCCCTGATCTTAGGAATTATTTCCTAACTTAGAGTAGTTCTTCCTTATAAATTGTAATTTACGTTTAGAGCAATAAAGTAAGAATTTCCTTTCTTCTCACATTTGTTCAGGGTATAATGAGTGCCATTAGGAGGATGGAACAAAGAATCTGCTCTGCTTCACTTAAACATCCCAACACATAAGTTCCATTAGCCCAAAAAAGTTCTAAAAGAACATGTGCTATTGGTTAATATTAGGCGAAGGTCAGCAAAATACCCACACAAGTTCATGCAAAACAAGGACGAATAGTGGACCACATAAGAAAATGACAATACAATGTATAAACATCCTCCAAAATTTGGCATCTAAAATTTGATTTGCATACTGTATTTTCTTGAGATTCTCACAGACATGAGCTAAAATTAAACAGAGCCTTATAGACGGCTCATTGCACTATCCGGGTAAAGGAAGAGACCGGAGAGGCAAAGACAGGGATGCTAACTAGGTTTTTCACTAGAAAACGTGAATATCCAACAAAATAGTAAAATTATTACCATATCTTGTATGTTTGAATTCCTTGAGATCCTCATATGAAAGATCTTGATAGGCTTGGGGATATTGAACTCGGAGCTAACCTGTTGAGCAAAACCATGGCACTACAAAGTCTTAGAAATAGGAAAATCTAATGTTAAAAATCGAATATGACATTCACTTTTTTGCAATCAATCAAAGTTTGCCTGCTGAATTATTTTTAGCTCTTCTTCCCTTTCAGAAAAGATAGATATGCAATAATAAATACCTTGTATTAAACAGTGATTTTCATAAACTACTTGGTCACAATTGCAGGATACTTAAGCAAATAGCAAGCATCAACAGCATGCTAGGCTTTCCCCTCAAAATAGCCAACTACATCCATCAGAGAACAATAAGGATGGAATAGATATTATATTCTACAAATTCTTATGATAATGATCGCATGCTAAGTTTTAAAGAATGATATGATATTAGACAGCTAGCATATCAGTTTTTGTCTTACAGAGAAGCAGGGTATGGGCTTCTCCAAATTTGCTGATGCTCCATAGATGACATCAATGTGTGAAGGCACTAAGGTGAAGCACAAGTTTTAAGTTTACCATTTACCAGTGTATAAAATAGTGCTTGCTAAGTGAAGAATTTACTTCAGTAATCATTCCTTTTTGTTTTATGGAAAACCTAGACTTAAAAAGGGAAGGCAATTCCATCTCCAGAGAATAGACACAAGTAAACATATTTATGCTTGTAGAAAATCCATGTATTTATTTCTTTAAAATTGGAATCATAAGTGAAATAAAAAATGATAGATATCAAAGGGAAATTTCATTGATGCGAGGCAATTGGGCACCTCTTCCCTGGAAAAAGGTATCACTGTGCATCAATGGAACTCCTCGAATAAAGGTGCCTACCTAAAATGGCAGGATGTAACACCCATGGAAAAGAAAAGGACCTTAGCATCCTTAAGGCACCATCATCCTTGACTATAATAGGGGCAAGACTAGCTGTGACCTTTTACTAAAGATATTACCAAAGCAGAATTCCCAAATAATGAACTAGCATACCCACCAAGGATACAAGAGACTCGTATGATTGACGAAAAACTTGAAGCCTCTGGTTTCTCTCAGCTTCAATGGATGCTTCATCACCAAATGAAATGTTGGAATTCCTGGTATTCAAGAAAAACTCAAATCAATAACTCATCAAACTAGACAAAGTTCCACTTGAACTCACCTTTTTGTCAAAATAACCTGAAGACTGTGCCAAAAATTAAAGGTCATTGAAGCAATATCATATTCTGGATGGGAAGCAACTTCCAGCAAAGCATTCACTATCATCATTGCTTCACTGGATCCTGAAAAAGAAAATCAATCAATTATATGGAAGAAGATAAACCATAATCAAAATTCTCAATATTGTTCTTGGGAACAAGAGAAACTTGCATCAATCAAAAGCAATCAACTGTTAAAAGGTGAAAATTGAAAGTATTCAACAGTTGTTGAAATTTAGTAATAGCACTGTTATATACCAGTTGCAATCAGTTCGACATATGAATCACCCATGTCTGCAAATAGTCGAGCAATGGCTTTCACATCTTCCTCATCCTGAAAACACAAAGTACAATTTAGGAATTAATCAAAATAGTCACTTTTCTCAAATAAGCAGTGATAGTCCAATCAGAATCCACAAGCAAACAATGGTTTCAAAATTTTGCGAACAAAACAAAAGGAAAATTACAACAAAACATGATATTATTGTTTCAAACATTACGGGTGAGTTTCTAAACTCCACAAGTGGAGTAAAAACATTATGGTGCATGCTTCTCTATTATATCATTTTCCTCTCAAATATACCCTAATGAGACATTTTTTAATCTCCAACAGCAACAGCGGTTTGTTAGATAATTTTCCATCATATAGGACATGACAACCCTTGGAAGAATTATAAAAACAGAAGGAATAACATCTAAATTTTGTTTTTAGAAAAAGAATCAAGAAAACAGCACTCTCTTAATATAAAGCTCTAAGGATGCCAAAAGTTATAGCACTAAACACATTTTTGTTTCCTACAGGCATATAAGATATATTTATCCCAATTCCACCCAACATGCAGTTAATTTAAGAAGTGAAACATCTCAAATTCCACCCATATGTTTGTAACAGAGAATCATTAGTTCAAACAACATCCCTGAGAATGACTATGACATAGGCACACTACAGTGTGAGAATTATCAACTTATTAACACCAATATATTGTATTTATGTCTCCAAGATCAAGGCATGGCATGTTTCACAAATAAGAAACAAATTTACACTGTTTATGAATACTTCACCCATAAGCAACCAGCACCTAACTTTTGGGCACAGAACCTTTCCCCTACCCCTCCAAAAAGATAAAAATAAAAAAGAACCCTAAACCACTTAAAAATAAAAAAAGGATACAGCGTTATTAAGAATTTTCTTACTACATCCACATAGATCCATTCTATCATTTGAGATTTTTTTCTCAGAGAAAAGGTGAAGGGTGGAAGGGGGATACATGAAGTAGAAAGAGCCATACCTTTGAAGAATCTCTAAGCTGTGCCTGCAGATTCATAACGTGAGGCACAATTACTTGAATTAATGGTCCCTGTACAGAAACACCGCCAGAGCTTTTTGATGCTGTGTAGTGTATCAATTCAGAAACAACTGCAAGAATAGGAAAATTGATAAATGAAATTAATACCTAACCACTACCTTCCAATGAGGATAGATCTGACTACCAAAACAATTTAGTAGCAGAGCTTAATAAGAAATTATATTTTCTCAAAAAATGCAGTACCATTTACAGATGCCTCTGAAAGTATATCAGAGTTCAAGCTTGAAAGAGCAGTTAGCACCAATGGGTGAGTTGCAAGCACAGATCCAGGGATCCTAAAACCAACAGAAGTTGAAATTAACCTATGATTACTTTGAATTCAGATCTGAGCAGAAGAGTGGCCAAATAATTATCTTCAAAAAGATAACACAACTGGCGGTAGTCAAAGACAACATCAATTAACATATGTCAAGAAAAAAAAGGCACTCCCCCAAGGAATGTGTAAGTAACCAAAAAGCTGAATATCCTAGCTGTTAGCACCAGTAATTTAACCAAGGACCAGTAACTTCCATACATACTCAAGAAATTTTGTTTAGAAAAAGAAGAGAAACGTGAAGCCCTATCAAAAATCTTTTAGAGTGCTGAGTGCATGCCCTATTGTAAATCATGTTACAAAAAAAATATTCTTGCTATCTTTAACAAGCAACAACCCAACTCCTAAGAAGTCGAATTCAATAATCCACAGCGATGAACCACTAACATGAAACAGTTCCATAAATAGTAAATTGTTAACATATCCCACTTCCAAAGAGGAAAATAATCCATCACTCCAATTCCTCTAGGGACACACAAAGTCAACCAAATTAATCCTCTATAGAGACAATTGAAAATAATATTCACTCATAGTCTCATATATAAAAAGAAACAGAAAAAGAGACACATACCCATGCTTTAGTCGAAGCCAAGAAGAAAATGCCTCAAGAACCTGATAAATCAATCATGTCGAAGTTAAAAACAAAGAACTTAATCAACCGTCATAAGCAGATAAGTAAAATGCAGCACACATCATTCTTATTGATAACATTTTTTTCAGTAAAATTTGATGACGACCAGTGATAACATTATGCTCCTTTCTCTTCCTCTTAGTGGTAGATCTAGATTTCTAGTTATGCATTCAACTTGAACTCCACAGTGGAAAATGGAAAGGGAGAGAAAAGCTTTTACCATAAATGGTCTAACCCTTGTTCTTTTTAACAGAAGACCTACCTTTTGTAATTTCTATAGACTACGCAATTCTATTTTGGCTAATCAATGAAAACGCTACTGCATCTTCTAAGCTTTCACCCTCAGTTTGTTACTATGAAGAAAAAGCGATGAGTAGCTCTCCCTACCACCCTATCCTCTGAGCAGAAGAAGCTATATCTATGCAAGTTTGTGCATGAAAGCCACAAGCACCTCCTCCTCCCTATCCGCCCTATATTATGAGAAGAAGCTACAACTATGCAAGCCAACTACAATGAAAATACTAAGATTAAATAACGTTATCAACAGACACAAATCTTAAAATTAACTCAGTTTCACCTTAGCATACACTACCGTCACAAAAGGCTTCACATGCATGCCAAACAAGAATGCAACCTAACACGAGCAAGCTAAAGTAATAATTGCCCCGTGAAACCCAGAATCAAATAGAGAAATTAATCCTTAGTCTTTGATGTCTTAGATGCTGAAAGTCTCTTTTGTTATATGTTTCTTCCCAAGTGAAATTATGTATATCTTAGACTACTAGAAATAGAGGAAGCAACCCAGGATCCTCGAGCTAAGAAGATGCATGCAAGTAAGAGGGAGGTGTACGTGGCAATGAAGTCAGTATTCCATTATCACAGAAGTTATGGATTGAGCTTCGCTCTATCCTTTTACATTTTATTTTATTTTAACTATTTGAAGTTGCCGTGAATTGTTCGACTCCCACTATCTCTTCCAATCTTAGTTCATCATAATTATATCAAAAACTAGATAAAACAACCACATATAAGGGTATAAGTAACAAAATAAGAGAAGGCCCCACCTGCTCTTTCAATTCACTTATATTTAAGCAAGCTGTCAGTATATTAAGAGCAATTTCCATTTGAGCAGCGAGCTCTTTTTCAAAATGGCGTCGTCGTTCCGGACGAGCTGCTATCTTGTAGTTGAATGCTTCCTGATTGCAAGCAAAAGATAGATAACAATCACGTGGCAGTCAGCAAAAAAAGCCAGAATTACCAATTGTTATAACATTTTTCTTCTACTATTTAAATGATAGAAACAACTCTGTTTGCTATATTTCCATGATTATTTAGAATGTTTGAAGTTCTCTGCTAAACTATAGCAGCAGCAAAATGTTAAAAAGGATAATAGCTTCCTGATGAAATGGAATGTGCATTCCTGTTAAAGTCCTCAACTAATTAGTTCAGGAAGTTGAATATCAAATAAACTCTAGGTGGAAGGTGAAATCAGGTAGATATGTCAAAGTAGATAGCGCAAATAAATTTGAACTTGAAAACTGAAGCCTAAAATTCATGTGTACCTCAGGCAAGACAGTAAGTAGCTCCAAAAATCCAGGGACAAATTCTGGATGAGAGTTCATCTCATCCCGAAGCCAATTGACAATACCACCATCTCCCCAGTCTTTTGCAGGAACATGTACAGCCAAAGCAGCAACTGCAATGCTAATCTAAAAAGGGGGGGGAATGACCACAAAAGTTTCATGTTGCCAAAAAATATAGAATGCAACTGTATAGTACCTGAGTCCGAACAATGGGAGGCCCTTTATGAAACTTTTTCAACAAATTCTGCATTTGAAATATCAATTCCATTAAATCTCTATATAGGTATGTCTACAAGTATGAAGGGGGGTTTTAATGAGACCTCCAATTTTTATTAAAAAAGTCTCTATATAGGTGTTGCATAAGCAGTTCATATGACGTTTGAATCCAAACCTCTTCAACGGGAAAAGAATATGCATAAACCAACTCACATTTAAGGAATTCCTTAATTGGAAAAAAGCTTCAGATGGTAATTCTTCAAAATCGCGTTGTACCTATCAAACAAATGCAACAGTAAAACTTTGATCTTGAAGATTGTGTACATAAATGCATGCTAAAGTTACCTTGCTTCTAAGAGTCTGTGAACAAAATATTAAAGTCTCTGGATTGCTTGTGGCATCATGCAGCAAATTGTCAGCAACCTAAAAGGAAGATTAAAATGAAATAATAGCAGATATTCATATAAAAGGAAAAAGAGAGAACAGAAAAATAAGCAACAAAAAATCACCAACCTAAAAGGAGGAAGGTTAAAATGAAATAAGAGTAGATATTCATTTAAAGGTAAAAAAAGAACAGAAAATAATCAACAAAAAAAACGTTAAAATTGAAGGTGTAAAAAACAAGAATTGAATCATGTCACATTTGATGTTTGATAATGCTACAATAAAGCTTAGAAATGCTGATAAAGAAGATTTGACATAATGGAGAAAGACCGTGTCAAAAGGAGATGAAACGTCCAGAAGAAATAGGCGGAATAAAGGACCTTGCTAATCCTAATCTTACTTGGGGCGTGGTTTTAAATAAGCAAACGATGCTGGCTATAATTCATGGAGCTAATCTAAGAGAAAGGACTGTTTCTCTCTTCTTGTATCAGTTTACTGGCTACATTTAAGTCACACAGCTCACAGGAATTATGGTGTAAATAAAGAAATAAATGAAAAAAATCCAGTATATGAACCTATATAGATCTCCAAGACAACCCAAGGAGAATTTTGTCTCATTTGAACCCTACACTTGTCCTTTTTATCCATGGCTTCTTTTCTAGCATCTTTTTTTTTTTTTGATAGAATATAGGCTGCATTAAAAAACCCCTTCATATCCTACATGTTATATAAGTAACATGAAGGACATAGGAAGGAGGAAAAGAGCTCCTCTGAATTGTATTAATCTTGAACATAACATACAACCAATCCATAACCATGGTCTGCTTATAACATAAGACTTAACAACATAAACACAAACTGCAGCACTAAAAACCAAGCCCCTTAAAAAAAACACAATGAACACCCCAGCTTAATAACTATAACTCATAACCACTGATCATCCTATTCCAGCTTTTGCCAACTCATCCGCTTCCCAGTTAGCAGCTCTCACAATATGTCTTGAGATGATACCCTTTCCTTCCACATAAGTAGCTACGCCTCTTACCAAGGACTGAAACAACGGGGTAATAAATCTGGATTTTTGTAGAAAACAGACTGTGTAGAAAACAGACTGTAGAAAACAGACAAGTCTGTTATTTTTTATTCTTGTATGCATTCAGTAGAACATATTACATATTTATATACAAATTATGCCTCTAAACTAGAAAACTCTAAGAAAGGAAACTAATCCTAGGAGATGTAATCCCTTGAAATAAGGGATTGAAAAACAGAAAATAATTACAGAATCTCTTAACTTAAGGGATTGACAACTCATTTCTATAATTCCTACAATTTTTAATCCGCTTGAGAGCATCTTAATAGGGAGACTTCAATGATGTGTGAACATAAATTTGTGCTAAAGAAAAACTAAAAGGGTGCACTGCACCCATGACAAAAGGTTGGCCATTGAGAAAGGATTTTTCAAAAATAAACTAAATGGTAAAACATGCTCAATATCATGCATTCCTTGCTGGATGAGCTTAATACAATGACTGGAAAGAAGTCGTAACCCTACCAGAGGGAAGATTGAATATAAGCAGCTGATCACACGAGTGCAAGCGTTAGCCGGCAAATATTTCGTTACTTTTTCCAAGGCACAAAACCAGGTAAGATACAAAGTACAATCTTTTTCGATAAGAAATCCTAATAAACTAGGAGTACCTGATTTCTCAACTATTCATTTGGGCTTAATACAAAGACTGGAAAGAAGTCGTAACCCTACGAGAGGTAAGATGGAATACAAGCAGACGATCATACGAGCGCAAGGGTTTGCTGGCAAATATTTAGTTACTTTTTCCATTGCACAAAACCAGGTAAGATACAAAGTACAATCCTTTTCGATAAGAAATCCTAATAAACTAAGAGAACCTGATTTCTCAACTATTCATTTGGGATTATTTCAATGAGATACGCATAAACAAGTACGAAAGAAAATGATTCAAGTTCGCTCATATTTGAATTTTTTTTAGTAAGATTGTATATAGATATGATAATCGCTGAACACAAATAATTCACTGTTTCTATCTCTACCCTGATAATTCTTTAAAATTACCATTATTTCTTCAACACGACACCTCAGTAAAGCACGAAACTATAACAATAGCAATAACTAACACTCCTAGTAATCACGAAGTACAAAATCAGGACTTAAGCACAAGCAATCAGAATCCAAAAACCATCAAAATACCCAAAATGCTAAGCTTTCTAGACTACCAGCGGGAATAATCCTATCCAAACACAGCCTTATCAGCACAAAACCGAACGGAAAATCTCAAAAAGAAGGAGGGGAAAGACGAGAATACCTGCCAAGCATCGATAGTGCGTTGAAAATCTTGTAACCAGCGATCGGCTTGCATACGCACCGCATCGTCGGGGTGATGGTACAGTGCGTTTAAGGCTTCTTTCACAGTGTTCTGTAGCTCCATGCCTTGCATTCGATTCTTCGATTTCGAAATTCAACAGTAGGCTCGCAGAAACTAGATTTGATTTTGATCAGTGCCTTTCGAGTTTTGATTTGTTCTCTTTTCTAATGATTTTTTTTTCGGGAGGGTTTCCTTTTGGCGCCCCTCGGTGAATTTGAGGGCTTTGGGGGAGCTCTGATTGGTGATGATGGACAGTTTCTAGCCGTCCGATGCGTGTACTTTTTTACTCCATGTAAATGCGATGGCTGAATGATTCTTTTTCTTTCTAGATTATTTTATGGGTAAACTAAGCATTAATATCTAACGTTTAGTTTTTGTTTCATTTTATTACTATGTTATTAAAAATTTAACATTAAGTTTTGAAAAAAAATTAAAAGTTTAGGTACTAAAAATGACCAAAATTGACAGTTAAGTACTAAACGCATCAAGTTTTTATCGAAAGAGTACTAAAATGAAATAAAAATTAAATATTAGGCATGGTTTTCAAAAAAATTCAAAATTTAGATACTAAAATTGATAGATTAAGTACAAAAATATGTAATTTACCCGTTATTTTATTAGTGTTGTTAACTAGAATATTGCTAGTACAAGGTATAATAGAATGAATAGCCCTTGAATTAGAGTAAATATGTCAACTTACTACTTACACTTTTAAAATGTCGATTTCAATTTTTTTTAAATAATGTGACACGATTTTGGTCATCTGAACGAAAGCAAATTTTGGAAAGTCTAATCGAAAATATTATATTTCTTTAATATTCATATCTTCAATTTTTTTAAAAAATAATATATTTAGTTACATAAATATCAACCTAAAGAAAATTTTAATTATTATACTGAATTTTAAAATAGTTTTTATATCATAAAAGTAATTAATACAAATTTAAATTTGAAAAATAAAATATAAGTAATAAATAAAACCTAGTATAAATATTCCTACTATATAAATTGGGATGGATATTTGACTTGAATCAGGTTTTATATGATTTTTTAAAAGATACGGGTTAGGATCAAATTTTTGAAGGATGAAGTAAAATCGAATTTAGATTTAAGGTGAAAATATTTGACATGATCCTACCAAAAAATAATAGTATAATAAACTTTTACATATTTATGGATAATTGCTACAATATCTCTCTTTGTATATTTTTCAATTAGATTTTATTTTACCTAATAAAAAATGAGAATTATATATATCTGTTGGGTCGGATCGGTGTATACTTTTACTTTAAAATTAGGTTCAGCAAAAATTTCAATACGGTACTTATAATTTGAAAATATTAAGTTTAATACTTAAAATGGTAATTTCACCTGTTAAGGTTATATTTTATTTCTAACATATCAAATAAAAAGGTAAATTATGTGTTTAGTATTTAAACTATCAGTTTTAATATCTAAACTTTCAATTTTTTCAAAATCATACCTAAAGTTTAATTTTCGTTTCATTTTAGTACCCCGTTCAAAATTTGATGTTAAGTTTTGACAAAAATTGAAAGCTTAGGTACTAAAACGGATCAAAATTGATAGTTTAGGTACTAAACGTGTTAATTTTTTAAAGGCATGTACTAAACTGAAACAATTACTAAATATTAAGTATGGTTTTAAAAAAAATTAAAAATTTAGATATTAAAACAAATCAAAAAATGATAGTTTACGTACTAAATGTATACTTTACCCTAGATAAAAAGGTAAAGACTGTTGAAAACATTTTGATATTTCGATATAACAAATTAAGTTAAATGAATTTTAAGATTTTCCAAATGATTTTCTAAGTATATTCAATAGAATTATTCGAATATCAAAACATTACTCCAAATCTTTCAAAGATCATTTTTAATCCTTACTCAAATTGTAAAATTAAGTTTTAATCTTAAAACAATTTCAAAATAATTTTACAAAGTATTTCAAACCATTTCAAAGCCAAAAATTTCAGATTGCTCAGAGGGAACCGATTCCTCCCTAAGGGGGTACCGATTCCCCCCTGAATGGTTTGGCTCCGAGAATTCCAGTATGCTCGGAGGGAACCGATTCCCCCCCAGGGGGTACCGATTCCCCCCTTGTATAATGGTCAAAATATTTGAATTTTACACTTAGGGAACCGATTCCCCATAGGGGGGTACCGATTCCCCCCACGCTCCAAACTGTTTTATTAATTGTTTTCACACTAAAACGGCTATATTATTTCCTCTAATTATCCCCAACGTTCAGAAGTGATTCAAGGTGTATTTAAGCAAGCTTAGAAGCCATTGATCAATAACAAGAAACATCAAGCAATTAGAATCAAGAGAGAATCAAAGAGAAAGCATCAAACCTCAAGTTTGAGCATTTCAAGCCTATTTTTCATTCAATATTCATTTTGCTTTCAAGAACACTTATTGTGCTCAATTGTATTTATTCTTGAGTGTTCTTTCTTTGTTCTAGAATTGTGCAAACATATTTGCCTTGTGAGGTTTTTCTTGTAAGTTTGCAAATTTGTATTTCTTTTTGAGAAAAGAGTGTTCTCAATAATTGTGGTATATTCTTGAGGGAGTTGTAAGGTTATCTCTTTGGCCTCAAAAGAAATAACAAATTAGTGAATTTGTTGGAAAATCCTTAGTGTGGATAGCTAAGGTAGTGGACGTAGACTTTGGTTGATAAAGTCGAACCACTCTAAATCGTGCAATTTCTTTCAATTTTCTGCAAAAGCTTCCACCAAATTTTTAATTACCAATTCACCCCCCTCTTGGCCAATTCCGTCAATCGATTAACTTAACAATTGGCATCAGAGCCTAACTCATTTGAAGGTTTAATCGCCTTTTGAGTCGATTCGGGAAGAGTTATATCGATAATCAAAGTCATCAATGGCCTCCGCTTCAAACTTCGACTCCGGTCTCGACTCGATGCCCGTCAACAAGCCTCATTTCTTCAATAGAGCTAACTATGCCTATTGGAAGAATAGAATGATATACTTCATTCAAGCAAGTGACATGGGAGCATGGAATGCTGTAGAAGAAGGATACATCAAACCTCTCACTCATCTAAGGTTGTGGAGTGAAGGGGAGACAAGAATGTTCCAGCTCAACTCCAAAGCCATCCATATCATTTTTTGTGCTCTTGGACCAGATGAATACGGAAGAGTTTCATCGTGTACAACCGCCAAAGAAATATGGGACAAACTTCAAGTCACTCATGAAGGTACCGATGAGGTAAAGAAATCTAAAATTAGTATTCTAACGCATAGCTATGAAAATTTCAGGATGAAACCAAATGAAGATATCAAAGCTATGACGGATAGATTTTCAACGATTGTTAATGGTCTCAAATCATATGGAGAGATCATTTCAAATGAAAAGCTTGTGAGGAAGTTAGTCTACTCCCTCCCAAAATCGTGGCAATCAAAGAAAACGGCAATCATCGAGTCTAAGGACTTAACGTCCTTAACTCTTGAAGAGCTAATTGGGTCACTCCTCACTCATGAAATGATGCTCGAAGATGAGGTGGACCTCGACAAGATTGACGAGACACCAAAGGAGAAGAAGAAAAACATTGGAGTTGCTCTCAAATTCACAAAAGATGAGAGTGATTCGAATAACGATGATGATGACGAGGAAATGGCATTGTTTGCCAAACGGTTCAGAAAAATGATGAGACCTTATCGAGGAAGAAAATTCAAACAAAATGAAGGCCTCAAAAATGAACCGAAAGAGAATGACCCAATCATTTGCTACGAATGCAAAAAGCCAGGGCATGTCAAATATGATTGCCCACAATTGAAGAAAAAGGGTCAATCAAAGAATAAGCACAAGGCTCATGTGGCTACATGGAGCGATGAAGAAAGTTCCGATGAAGAGGAACAAGAAGTAGCTAACTTGTGCTTGATGGCATTTGGGAAGATTCTAAGGTAACCTCTAACTCATCCGATTTTGATGATTTATCCTATGATGAGTTATTAGAGGAATATAATGGGTTGGCTTCGGATTATGAGAAATTATTTTTAAAATATAAAAATGATGTTTCAAAATTGAAAAATGAAAACAAACTCATATCCAAAACCAACAACGATCTTGAAAGTAAAATCAAAGATTTTCAAATCAAACTAGAAGAGTTTGAAAAGAAAAATTTAGATTTGCAAAATTTACTTTCAAAGATCAATGATGATCATCAAAAGAAAATTGATGATCTTAAAACTTCTTTTGATAAAGTTGGAACAAAACATTTTGAAAAAGGTAGAAATTCAAAATCCAACTTTGTTAGAAAAAGTTTTAGAAACTACAATCATAGAGGTCCCCAAAGAACCTCTAATGGAAAAATCGTTAGAAGTATGTGGGTTCCTAAAGAACTCATTACTACTAAAGATAAAAATATCCTACACAAATGGATACCTAAGGGGACTAGGATTTTGGAAACTAATGAATATGGACCCAAAAGAATTTGGGTACCAAAAATCAAAAATTAATATATGTTTGTAGGGAAAGGAGCATTGCTACAAGGCACGGGAAACAAATTCAAATTCATGGTACCTTGATAGTGGATGCTCAAGACACATGACCGGAGACAAAAGCCGGTTCATTGAGCTTAACGCCAAAAATGGAGGAGAAGTGACTTTTGGAGACAATTCAAAAGGTCACATTGAAGGTATTGGTATAATAGGTAATACCTCTTCCATACAAATTAAAAATGTTTTATATGTGAATGGATTAAAGCATAATCTATTGAGTATTAGTTAATTATGCGATAAAGGATTCAATGTCTTATTTGAAATTAATGGTTGTAAAGTCATTGACATTGCATCTAATCGGATTATGCTTGTTGGTCATAGAATAGGAAACATATACATGGTGCATTTAGATTCTTTTGATATGACTAATTTATGCCTAGTTGCTAAGGATGAACATAATAGTTGGTTATGGCATAGAAGACTAGGACATGCTAGTATGAGTGTTTTGCAACGGTTAATTCAAGGAGACCTAGTAAGAGGGTTGCCTAAGCTTAAATTTGATAATGATAAAATATGTGATGCTTGTGCTAAAGGAAAACAAAAGCGAGTTTCTTTTAAATCCATTAATGATGTATCAACTAGTAGAGTTTTACAATTGATCCATTTAGATCTTTTTGGGCCAACTAGAACTACTA